GCATGGCGTCCCACACGTAGCTGAAGAAGCCCTTGAACGGTTTCTCGGGGTACGTGTTGGACCCGTACACGCGCACGCGCCGGTCCAGGTCGTCCTTGCTGCCGGACAGCCCCGCCGTGAGGTCCGATCCCAGCCCCCTCGCCACGCCCTGCACGCCGCCCACGCGCTCCAGCGCCTTGCCGTCCTGCCCCTCCACCAGCTGCCTCAGCGCGCCCGTGCCGTACGAAAAGCCCTCCGCCTGCGCCGCCGGCAGCGAAGAGTCCTGCGCCGTCTGCAGGCCTGCCGGGGGAGACGCGAGTGAAGGCGCGTGCGGACGATTGGGGACGGGCGGAGGGACGCGGCGACGGAAATTGGGGCCGGGATGTGGAGCGGAATGCGGCACGAAACGAGGGCGGGAAGGAGAAGGGGAGCGGGAAGGGGGCGAGTGGGAGTCGAAGTTGATTGCTGAGTAATTCGGATCTCAGCCCGATGCGATCGGCGCTCGCTAGATGTGGGAGAGTGAGAAGAAGGGTTGTTCCACGCGGTTGCGATGCAGCTGTTCGAACCAAATCGGATTCCGCAATGAGCTTAACGCTCCGTCGGGTGCCGCAGCAAACACGATTCACCAGACGCGTTGCTCGTCGCGGGGCTTTGGCCCGCTAATTTACAAGACGAAGGTGGAGACGAGTCGGCGGGGACGATCGGGCATTGCCATGGGTGTCGCAACGGAAACACCGCGGCGAAAGGCAAGGACGGCGAGTGCTCACAGCCCAAGGAAGCGGCGTACCTCTCTTGAAGCGTTCGACGGCAGTGATGGCCACGCGGAGCTGGCTGAGCGACAACTGCGATACAGGGACGGAGTGCGACGAGGCAGGGGAGGCATAGAGCATAAGGCATCCGCTAAGAGGGACGAAAGAAGGCATGCAATCGGGGGTGGGTTCCAACCCGGGAATTGGCCATGTCCCACGATGCACCCGTAGTCGATCGCACCCCGCAATCGATCACACCCTGCAAGCGATCGCACCTGACTCTTTGATTCCAAGTCAGCCGTGTATCGGAAGCGACGGGCGGAGTTGAGGACAAGCGAGGAGCGGCGCCACTTCTCCATCTTGTGCACGTCCTCCTCCTTGTTGTTCACGTCGAAGTCGTTGATCGACGCCGTGAACGGCAGCGCCAGGTCCGTCCACAGATTGCCCGCGCCCGAGCTCGTGCAGCGGCGGCGGGAGGTGGTGGAGGCGGAGGAGGGGAAGGCGGCGGAGGAGGTCCGGCCGGCGGGCATGGAGAGCGACGACGCCGCCTGCGCCACCGACGGGCCCTCGTCCGTCGACGCGGACGGCCTGGGCGCTGGTTGCGCCATCTTGGTGTCGCTCTTCGACCGCTGAAGCATAAAAATGAAAGGCACGGGGAATTGGGAGCAATGGAAACAACAGCAAGGATTGCAGGCAACGCGTGTGTGCAATTCTCCGGCCTGAGCATTTGAATGGGCCATGGATCTCCACAAGGACGGACGGAAGGACAACGGAGGAGAAATTCTTCAATTCTCTCAATTGAGATTAAGTGGCACGTGAGCAAACGGGATTCTCCGTCAGCGAAAAGACACAGATCAATGACGGTCTGGCCACAAAAGCAACGCTTATTCAAGTTACGAGAATGGCATTGGATATTAAATTGCTGGGATAGAGGAAGCATCACTTGAATTGCTCTCTGTTAGAGCAATAAGCCGATCCATACCTTATTGCAAGTCGAGCCGGCCCGCAGGAAGCGCTTGTCAAGTGTCTACTCTTGACAGTTCATGCACATATTTCTAAGGGCAAGAGAGATCGAGAGAAGTAGTCCTGGCAAGGTGGAGAGACCGCCGCCACTTCCCTTGCCACAGTTCCTTCCCACCTTGGCTAGTTCGGAGGTGGTACACGACCCTGGTTTCCAGGGTCGCGGAACCTCACACTTGTCCTTTCCCGGGCTGCAAAGCGATTCAATTGGTTTTGAAATATTATAAGAGGTTTTATTACGGTGGAGAGCAAACCTTCTGCCTTCGACCCTGAAAACCAGGGTCGTGTACGGTGGCCTAAAACATTTCATTGAGGATGGCAAGGGATATTCTGTCAAGTTCGGGTCAGGAATACTGCCGCCAAACCAAATCTAGCCGAGGCAAGGGGAGGGGCCCTTGTACTGTACACAAAAGTCTCCTCGTGTCAAGAACTGCTGAACTCGAGATTTTGGAAATTGCCGTGAATGCCCATCACTACTGCACACCTATGGCGTCGTCCTGACACCTCCTCCTCCTCCTCGGGGGGTCAAGACCTAATAGACATTACGAATGGGCACTGACATTTGGTCAGGAAAATGTGACAGCCGAATGTCAATGGAAGTGTCGATAGAGCCTAGGTCTTGCCTGTTCGAAACACTTCACTGTGCTGTAGCATAGCCCAAATCTTGATGCCCAAGTCACAGAAAGCCACGTGGCCATACATGATCGCTCAGCCACCACAAACAAGCACGCTGAAGTCCGAGAACACTTCAGACTGATACACAATGATTCAAGTATAAGTTCCTATAAGATCTCAAGCGAGAATAGAGTCGATTTTATTTAGGAAGAGAACACAAAAGGCAACATCAAAAGAACATGATAGAATAAGGCTACGCACTAAGCACCCAGCCGAGGCTTGGCCAAGCTGAGACATGCGTCTCGAAGCATAATCAACGAGCATGGACTTGCAAACCCCACGAGATGAATGCAGTGTTAAAATTATATATTGTGTTATATAATTGTTAGGCTTGGTAGGTTACTGAACTTTACTGTAGAGGGTACAATACCCCTCCTCGTATCCCTCTCTCTTCTTTCCTAGTTCTCTTTTCTCTCCTCAACTTTTCTCCTTCCTAAACCTCACGCCACTCCATGGCCAGGCCTGTCGTTATCAAGGTATTTTACCCTTATTCCCTGATTTCACAGGGTATTTTTTTGGCCAACCCTTGATTTTCAGGGTTGGGATTTTTTTAACCCTAACCTCTTCAGGATTGTATGTCTGTGAACACTTAGAATTTCAGGGTTTTCGTTATCCCAAAACTAAGGTTTCAAGGAGTAACGCGTACGAACCCTGAGTGCGACATCCATGTGGCTCACAATGCGGAAATTTATGCAAAGTCCCCAATCTCCATAGACATTCCCCCCCACACACAACAACCTACAAAAATTGGTGAAGTCCTCAAACATTCCCTTACACACCAAGCAACCTACAAAAATCGGGTAAGTCATGTGTCGTACAGACATCCCCCCAACACACCTAACAACAACCCACAAAAATTAGCTAAGTCTTGATAGGCAGTGACAGCAAAAAAAAAAAATGGCTTAGTCCTATTGTACACAAGTTATCCCCCCTCCCACACTCCCACAACCCATAAAAAAGGCTAATGGTCAAGTCATAGAAGGTATCGTAGGTTTCGCAGCTGGCAATGTACCTAACCCTAAATTTAAAAGGTACTAGCGACAATGCTCCATTCTTAAGGAAAGTTTTTTTATTGCCCGTGTGGTCAACTGAAAGTCCATCAAACTTTGACGGCCACGATCAATCGCGATCGTTTCGACAAATTTCAGCCGTTAGATGATCGCGTATGATTAACGTCCTCGATTTGCCCATGTCGCTGCAAGCGCGGGAGGTTTCTGCCACTGCCCCATTCGCCTCGATCCCCACCTCTCCCTCTGTTTCGCTTCCCCTCTCCCCTCTGTTTCGATTCCCCCTTCCCCTCCGTTTCACTTCTCCCATTCCTCTCTACTGTATTTCGAAACCCCCCCCCCCCACTTTTTCCCTCCCCGTTTCGCTTCCTCTCTTCCCCTATGTTTCCATCCTCCCCCTTCCCCTCCGTTTCGCTCTTCCCCTCCTCTCGGTTTGATTCCCTCCCCTTTCCCCCCCCATTTTTTATTCCCCCCTCGTGTTGAAGGCAACCCTGAATGCGTTTGGTGAACCCTGGGATTTTCAGGGTTCTTGATTTCTGAACACTTACAAATCAGGGTAGGCAGCTCAGGGGGGGTTTTTTTTAAACGTCAGGCCTGTCCATGGCTCCTCCTAGATAAACCTCATGCCTTTCATAGCTTCCTAGCTAAGCTAGCCTTCTAACATGCAGCTCCGTTTTGGGCCACGTTGTTGGACTGAGAAATAGCCATAGAATCTTTTCAGCGTGCTTGATAGCACATCGGGAGTCTTGAATGAACCCTTGTACTGGAATGTGAGAACAAGTGATTGATCATAGCAAAGGAATACAATGTTTGTATAATAATAATAAAATAGGAAGAGTCCAGCAGTTTATGCACTTCGAGAGGTACATTCTTTTTGTAATAATTTGACAGGTGTTGCAAGAGACTTAAGTATATAATCTGCAAACACGAACACTTGGAAAACCTCAAGTGTTGGCCTAGGATCTTTACTAGAATGGTAGAATAGTAAGACAGAGGAAGTCTTGTAAGAGTGAACCTGCGTATAAAGTTATCTGGAAGGCAAGTCTCAAAGTCTCAACGTTGAAATCTCAAGGTTAATAATAGAAAGAAATAACAAGGATTTATAGCTCTAGGAAAGTACCAATTCGCTAGTGTACATGTTCGTCAGTATCGCGCTATGCGCCCTAAATGATAATGAAGAGGTGCGACTGTTAGCGTGACTGAAACGACTGTCCTCATGACGAGCGCTATTCGCGTGACTGGAGCAGATGGCGATGGAGGACGGACGCCAGAAGAGGGAACCTTTATTTGTGGGAAACCCGACTTTGTACAGTCCTGTCGCTTGAAACTTCTAGGGAGCGTCAGCAAAACAAGTACACGATTTCATGCACACACATATATATGTATATTACGTACACCAACGTGCAACCTAAGGAGGGACTCTACATTAGGCGTACACATATATATGCATATTGCGTCCGCCAACGTGCAAAATAATACGGGACTATACACTAGGGACTATTCATGTGGTGTAGTGTTCCACATGAGCACCACATGAATACCACATGAGAAGCCATCCACATCCCCGGCCCTCGGAGCCAATCCTTTTCCCGAGGTTACGGATCCGTTTTGCCGACTTCCCTTACCCACATTAATCCATTGACCAGAGGCTATTCACCTTGGAGACCTGATGCGGTTATGAGTACGACCGTGCGTGAGCAGTATTCGCTCCTCCGGCTTTTCAAGGGCCGTTGGGGGCGGTCCAGACACCGCGAGACGTGCGGTGCTTTACCAGCTGCGCAGGCCCTATCTCCGTGCAAGCCGATTTCAGGGCCATCGAGCTGTGAAAAAGAAAAGACATCTCTTCCCCGGAGCCCCCGCCGACGTAACCGGATTCGCTCGCGTTGCCGCCAGCTGCCATGTCCCCGGTTCGGGAATTTTGACCCGATTCCCTTTCGATGGGCGGCGCGGGGAGAACCGCGCCGTTCTCAAGGAGTTACCCCATCTCTTAGGATCGACTAACCCATGTGCAACTGCTGTTCACATGGAACCTTTCTCCACCTCAGTCTTCAAAGTTCTCATTTGAATATTTGCTACTACCACCAAGATCTACAGCGATCGGGAGCTCCACGCGCGCTCACGCGCATGCTTCGATGCATCCCACCGCGCCCTCCTACTCGCACCGGCTCACCAGCAGCCGGGTGCGGCCGGGTATAGGTCACGCGCTTGAGCGCCATCCATTTTCGGGGCTAATTGCTGGTTCTGCATCGATTCGGTTCAAGCTGACCGGAAGACTTAGCCAACGGGAAATCCTCCTCGGCGAGTTCTGTTCTCTGCGACTGACATGATCCGACGGCCAGAGAGGCCCCATATTGCCACCGCCGAAGCCACAACTTCCTCCAGCGCCACTCACCTTTTGCCGCGTTGGCGGAAAAGTGGGCTTGCGAGCGTGGCGCGGAAGGCTAAGATTTGCGGGCGGAATTGTGGGAATAAATTTTGTGGCAGCCAAACAACTCCTTCGAAGTGGAAGTTGCGTTACAATCACGGAAGCATTCCATGGTCATTGTCATTCCGCATACAGTGCAAATTTCAGAATATCATACAGATTTGTATGCTTTCCTATTATTCGACCAACATCACATCACCATCATTCCCATATTCTCAACCCAAAAGACACCCTCCCCTCCCCCCCACGTCCAAGTCTTCCCCATCTCCCATCCCTTCCCCCACACTCCACCAGCTCTTCGCGGCTCTTATGGAGGTGACAGTTGTACGGATTGGGCTCGCGTCATCCAACTTCAGTGAGCTGCCATGCTGCAATTGATGACGAGAGGCCTGCATGCTACAGTAGGTCATCATCCTCTTCCAGCTGTTAGCTTGTGTTGAATTTCTCCAAGCCTCCGACTTTAGGGCGCGCAGCTGGCGTCGCTAGGAGGCATCAATGTTGAAGCCTTTTCGCTGGTGGGTTATTAGTATACGAATACGGGTACTCTACCAGGATGAGTGCGTCGACGGGTGCGTAGAGAAATGCGTTTGCCACGTCGATTTATCGAGGTCATAGATTGCGGCAGGCAGCGACACTGAGCAGAATTCGAACACTCGTATGTCGACCGACGGGAGCAAAAGTTAGCTCGTAGTCGATGCCGTAAGTCTGTTCGAACCCGCGGACGACCCATCGCGCCTTGAATTTCTCACACAACCCATCTGCATTAGTCTTGACGCGGAAGACCCATTTTCCGGTGAGTACCTTCTTCCTTTCACTTCTGATGTCGGTATTAACACCCATATGCCGCGACTCTTGAAAGCTGCTAGCTCTCTGTCCATGGCTTCGCGCCATTTTTCGCTGTGAGGACTCGTAAGAGCTTGTCGAACGGTTTTCGGTTCAGGTATTTTACTGTTGTTGTACTGTACTGCAACTGCGAATCCAAGTACCTGTAAGCCGGTTTCTGTAAAACGCGGACGTTCTTCGTTTGCACCTGCAAAATTTTCTCTTGCTCCTTCTTCCCCCCCAATTTCATAAGGTGTAACACGAATGGCTTCGTCGGAGACGACGGGCATCGGCTGCTGTTGACGATCGCGTTCGTAACTGAGGTGGACTTTGCAAACGTCATCCGGGTCAGCATCTGCGAGAGGAATAAATTCCGAGATGCCAGTCGACGTGACAGGTTCGGGAACATCTATTGCGGCAGCTTCGAAGGCTTCAGAAACTGCTTCGTCCTATACATCAGCTTCGGCTTCATCAGTTGCAAATGCACGCGAGCCTTCGAACAGCCTGGCAGGGTTGGCAGCTGCTGCCTGGTGGGCACGAAAAACTGGCAAGGTGAGTCTTTCATAGAAGAGACAATCACGTGAAGGGACGATTTGGTTGGAACGAAGGTCCAAAATCTTCCATGCGTGATACTGTTTTTCGATGCCGAGGTGTACCCCCCATTTTGCCCGTTCTGAAAATTTGCCGAGTGCTACAGTTGGAGGACGAAACTGCACAACACACCCAAAAACTCGTAAAATTTTGGTACTTCCCACTGTTCGTGTCCACTGCAGGTGCGGAGAAGAAAACTCGGGCAGTGACGTGGAAGAAAGCAAGTTATGTAACAGCACAGCGTGGTCCATCGCAAACGGCAAAAAACGAGGAGGAAGGGCTGCGTGCGTTAGCAGAGCATGCATCTTCTCCTGCAGAGTCCGATTCATTCGTTCTGCTACCCCCATCTGTTGGTGTGCATGAGGCAGTGACTGCTTCCTTTTGATGCCGAGGGTTTGGAGGTAGTGTGTGAAGGTGTTGCTCGTGTATTCCCCTGCGCCATCACTATGGAATTCTTGCAGTTTCACGTCAGACTGTCGTTCAGCGACAGCGAGCCATGCGACGAAGATGGAATGGGCAAGATAACGAGCAGGAAGGTTTGCTATCCAAACGTAGCGAGTAGATGCTTCGATGAAGGTTATCACGTACTGCTCTTCTTTAGGTCCTGCTTCAGGTAAGTTAAGAATATCGCTGTAGACTTTCTGCATCAGTTTGTAAGGTGTGGAGCCAGGAAAATGACTTGGAAATGGGTCGTGGGTAAGATTGGCGACTGGACACGTGGTGCATACCGTCGGGCGAGATTGCGGCTTCATCTCTGTGCCGTCAGGTAAAAGTAGACTGTTTTTATCAAGAATTGCTGCTCGGATTGAATGATTAAAGATCCCTTGCGATGGATGTCCTAACCGCTGATGCCAAATTTCCTCTGTGGCTTTGTGTCCTGATGAGCGCAGATAAAAATCAGCGTTAGTATAAAACAAAGAAATGATAAAATGAGAAAGAGCTGGCGACATGTCAATCTCCCCTTCAATGAAACGGGTAAGCGGTAACTGAACATTTGAAGGTTCTGCTGCAGTTGCGATTGCAACTTCTGATGCTTGTTCTGTTGATGTGTGAGCAGATGGTCCCGCGACTGCTACTGGATGACTCAGCTGCTCGGCGACGTCTACTTTCACGTCTTCTTCGACGACTTCGGGTTCATCATCTGCAAGTCTACTGATTTCGCCCCAAAGTGGAGCGGGAGTTCCTTGGAAGGCCGCGCGGGTATTATAAAACGTTCGCCATGTGTTGGCGCCTTCATCGGCGGTATTAAACTCCCAAGTATCCAGTGGGGTAAGAACGGCTGCTGCAGTTCAAGAAGCTGTTGGTACAGTAGTTGCCCGAAAATCAATATCCACGTGTTGATAATCTATTTCTTTTGGGTGATCCCAGGGACCAAAAGCAAGAACGCGTTCGGAATAACCAGAAGTGCCCTGTGCTTTGAACTGAAGAACTGATACGCCATGTTGAGTAGTGGCACGACCGAGGTAAGTATTTGATAGACTGTGCCATAACTCCTGATCCATTGTATCACAATTCCCTTGTGTGCGAATCTTGTGTGCCAGGAGTTGAGCTATGGAGAGACGATTGAAGCCAGGTCCGGCAACGATAAGAACGTTGGTAACGTGTAATGAACACCCCGTATCGACTGATTCGAGCATTACACTCCCGATGGATCTTGCCATAATGGTTTGTCCGTTTGCGACTGTGATAGGTATCGGTCGACGAAGTGGGCGCTGGTTGGTGATGAAGCTTGTTTCAGCGGAGCACATGTGCCAGCCGCAACAGCTATCGAGATACCAAGTATTGGGTCTTGAAATGACTCGAGCAAGGTTAGTATAAACTTGAGGTAAGGGAATGCCCTCTGCACTGGTATTTTCTTCAAGCTGTGTCTCGGAATCAGTTTCTGAAACATCAACTATTGTAACACATCCAAAGACCCCTTTTCCTGATGTTGCAGATGCAAAGACCGGAGGTCGATGCTGTGGCGACGATGTATTCTGCTGTGGTTTCGGCATCTGCTGCACCTGGGACGTCGGCTGCTGCGTTGGCTGATGTGGCTTTGGCAACTGCTGCTGTAGTCTTGATCTGTATGCTGTTAAGTAAATTCGGTGGTTGAAAGATGATACCTTGTTGAGGCTGTTGCTGTTGTTGCTGTTGCTGAAATTGCTGTGGCTGATGATGTTGCTGTTGCTGCTGTTGTTGTTGTTGTTGAGCAGGTAAACTTCCGAAGATGTAAAACGGGTGCTGCTGCTGCGACTGGGGCTGCTGCGCGAAAGGTGAGAAGGCAAACGAGCCAGAAATTGGAGCTGAAGCTCCACGCATATAACTTGAGCCGTCAAGACTCATTCCACTAAATGCTTACGATATTGACTGAGTTGAAAACTGTGGCCTAGCTGTTGCCTGTTGTTGTACCGATGCCTGTTGTTGTGCTGTTGTCTGTGTTTGTTGGTGTTGCACTGCAGGGGCAGTCGATGAAGTCCCTGGAGTGTTAAGCGGAGGATTTTGCTGCTGCTGCTGCATACCGATGTGTGCATAAGCCGGTGGAAATGGTCCAGTGGCTGAGCGCCCAGTGGCAGTCGTGGAGACAAGTACTCCAGTAGTTCTGGAAGTAGATCCGATAGATGGCGCTGGTGTTGTTCCATTCATTTTGATAGTAGTCTTAATTCCAGACAGCTCTCATACCATGTAATAATTTGACAGGTGGTGCAGGAGACTTAAGTATAGAATCTGCAAACACGAACAATTGGAAAACCTCAAGTGTTGGCCTAGGATCTTTACTGGAATGGTAGACTAATAAGACAGCGGGCGACTTGTAAGTGTGAACCTGAGTATAAAGTTATGTGGAAGGTCAAGTCTCAAAGTCTCGAAGTCAAAATCTCAAGGTTAATAATAGAAAGAAATAACAAGGATTAATAGCTCCAGGAAGGTACAGTACCTATTCACTAATGTACCTGTTCGTCACTATCGCGCTATGCGCCCTAAATGATAATGAAGAGGTGCGACTGCTCGCGTGACTGAAATGACTATCCTCATGACGAGCACTATTTGCTGACGTCATCCTACGGACATATTCTACGGTAGGATTCGACACTATCTACCGATAAATGACTTACACAAATGCTAAGTATGAATTATACCACAACACCTTTTACGACTCGATAAGGGCGACTCGGCTAACCACCAGTACTGTAATACCAAGGCGGTTATTTGTCCTTGCTGTCGTGCAAACGTGACTCTAGTACTTCTGACTGTTGAATTGGATTGCACGGTCAACGCCTTGAGAGTCAACTTATACATATATTGTTATGTAGAAGTTATAGGCTAGATAGGGTATGTTCTTAGAGGGTACAACCCAAACACTATATCTCCCCTGTTCTTCTTTCTTCTACTCATTCCTTCTAGTCTCAACATGGTATGACGAGTAGGTAGGTCCACCCAACCGCTTCCGCCCTGTGCCACCACCTACCGAACCCTCGCGCCCCTAGCTGGCCTCGCGCGCCCCTACGGCCTCGTCGCGCCCCTAGCAGGCCCCGTCGCGCCCCTACGGCCCCGTCGCACCCCTACGGCCCCGTCGTGCCCCTAGCAGGCCCGGTCGCGCCCCTACGGCCCCGCCGCGCCTCTACGACCCCTCGCGCTCCTAGCCGGCCCCGTCGCGCCCCTGCCGGCCCTGTCGCACTCCTACGGCCCTGTTGCGCCCCTTGCTGGCCCCGCGCGCCCCTCCAGCCCCGTCACGCCCCCTTTAGGCCCCGTCGCGCCCTTACGGCCCCGTCGCACCCCTAGCCGGCCCCGTCGCGCTCCTGCCGGCCCTGTCGCGCTCCTACACCCCCTTCGCGCCCCTAGCTGGCCCCGCGCGCCCCGACAGCCCCGTCGCGCCCCCAGCAGGCCCCATCGCGCCCTTACGGCCCCGTCGTGTCCCTAGCCGGCCCCGTCGTGCCCCTACCGGCCTGGTCGCGCTCCTACTGCCCCGTCGCGCCCCTACCGGCCCCTTCGCGCCCCTAGCCGGCCCTGACGCGCCCCTAGCCGGCCCTGTCGCGCCTACCGCCCCCCCCCCCCCCCCCCCCCCCCCTGCGTCCCTAGCCGGCCCCTTGCGCCCTTGCCGGCCCCGCTCGCCCTAGCCGCCCCCCCCTTTTTCCCTCGTCAGCCTCGTCGCCTGCGCCGCCGTGCCGCCGTGTCCTCGAACCGCCGAGCACACGTGCCGCTGAGCCGTCGAGCTGCCGTGCCGCCGAGCCGCCGTGCCGCCGAGCCGCCGAGCCACCGTGCCGCCGTGCCGCCGAGCCGCCGAGCCACCGTACCGCCGTGTCCCCGAGCCACCGCACCGCCGAGCTGCTGAGCCGCCGAGTCGCTGCGCCGCTGAGCCGCTGTGCAGCTGTCACACTGTGCGATGGCGGACGCCGTTCTTTGCTTGGACGCTGAGGGGCACGCGATCGACTTCGCCGCCTGGCTCGTCGACCTCCGCCGGCACCTGACAAGTCAGCGCCATAATGGACACTCCCTGGCTATGCATGTTGATGGTTTGCTTCCCCGCCCCCCTGCGCTTGATCCCCTCCCTGCTGACCCTACCACTACTGAGAGCGAGGATTTTGCTGCTGCTGCGCTTGCTCGAGCTATCTGGGATTCCCGCGATGCAGTAGCCCAGCTTGCCATTAGCCATGCCCTACCCCTATCTGAGCGTCCGCGCTTCACCGCTGTCGCAAACGCTAAGGACTTTCTCTCTGCAGTAGTTGAGCGTTACTCCACACCTGCTTCCGCCTCTGCTGGCCGCTTGATCCTACCCATCCTCTTCCCTGATCTTTCTGCTTTCCCCACGGTAGCTGACCTCGCTACCCACCTCCGTGCACTAGAGACCAGCTATCGCGCTACTAGCTCTGCCGCCCAACTTATTGCCTTCCCCCCACCTTTCCGCGCTACCCTGTACCTCATCGCCATGTGCCGTCCTGACTGCTTAGCCACTGCCCGCGACCACTTCCTTAGTCAGCACCCTGCCGACCTCACCCTAACCGCCTTTGTCACTACTCTGTCTAAGATAGAGACTCGCCAGCACACTCTCGCTCAGTCGAGCGGTGTTGCGGCAGTCCCTATCTTTCAGGGCTGTGCCCCCTCCCACTGCACGTACGCTGACGTCTCCGCCACAGTTGCCACGACTGCGCCTGCACCTGAGGCAGCAGCTGCGGCGTACCCGCAGCAGCGCCAGCACTGGGGTCGCCGTGGCCCCAATAGAGGACGTGGAGGTGGAGCTAGTGGTGGTGGTGGCGTGGACAAAGGTTCTGACGGTTGGTGCTGCTGCCCAGGAGCTGCAGCAGTCGCCGCAAACACAGCCGCCGGAGTCGGAGCTGCCGCAGCAGCAGCAGCAGCCGTCACAGCAGCAGCAGCCACAACAGCAGTAGCAGCCAGAGCAGCAGCAGCAGTAGCCGTGGGCTCATGTCCCGCCCAGGTGACCAAGAGCCCCTGGCGGTGGTGGTCGTGGTGGTGGCCCTCGTAGCTCGGCATCCACCGGCAGCTTCGGTGCTGTGAGCGGGCAGTACCAGCTTCAGACCAAGCGCTTGCGGGGCACGGTGTGCCACCGCTCGCAGCCCCCCGCCTCTGCTTCCGCCGCCTCGACGACCTCTTCCGTCGCCGCTTTGGTCCCGCTCCGGACCTCCCTGACTGGTCCGAGGTGGTCTCCCTGCGTCACTCCCTGCTCTCCCTCCCTCGCCTGCGCCGCCGTGCACGCCCTGCGTCTAGGGCCGGCAACACCGTGCTCCTCACTTCTCCTCACTTCGCCTTGCCACTGCACCCCTTCAGACCCTGCACTTGGACGTCTGGGGCCTAGCCCCTGTCCCTGGACCGCGTCAGGAGCGCTACTTTCTGGTGCTCGTTGACGACTTCACGTGCTACACCACTGTGTTTCCCCTGGAGCGGAAGGCCGACGTGCATGCCGTTCTTATCCCGTGGCTCGTCGCTGCGCGCCTCCACCGCGGTCTCCCTGTGCTGTGTCTCCACTCCGACCGTGGCAGCGAGTTTGCCTTTGGTCGGGTGGGTCAGTTTTGTCGTGCTGAGGGTATCACCCAGACGTACACCCTGCCGGACTTCCCGCAGCAAAATGGAGTCGCTGAGCGACGCATCGGTTTGATCATGGAGGTGGCTCGCACCTCCATAATCCATGTCGGTGGCCCCATTTTCTATGGCCATTTGCAGTGCGCTACGCCACTCACCAGCTTAGCCTTTGGCCTCGCTCTCAGTAGCTGCAGGTTTCACCGACCCTTCTTTGGATCGGGTTCCCTGGTGACGCGTCTGCATTCCACGTCTAAAGGCTACCTCGCTCACGTTCGTGCCTCCGGCACAGACAAGCTCACGGCCCGCACTGTGCCCTGTGTCTTCCTCGGTTTCCCCCGTGACTCGTCTGACTGGCACTTCTACCACCCGTCGTCTCACCGCTTCCTTCACTACCGTGACGTCACTTTCGACTAGACTGTCTCCTTTATCCACCGCTTTCCTCACCGATGTCTCCCGGTTCCCCCCCCCTGTTTCTGGTTCCCAGTCTCCCAGTCACCCCTGCTCCCCTCCCTCCCCGTCCTGCTCCGTCTGGTGTGTCTCACGTTACTCTCCTCCCGTCTGTTGTCCCGGCCGAGGAGTCGGCTGACTCCGGTGGCACCGCGGCGCAGTTTGCGCCGCCTGTCCCTCCCCCGGTGCCTCCTCCTCCCTCGTCACAGTCGCTGCTGCCGTTCGTGGACTCTGGGGGTGTTGGAGTTGGAGAGGGTGCTAGTCCTGGGGCTCCTCTCTTGGCTTGTCCCGGCGGGCTCGGGGGTGGCACCGGCGCTAAAGACGTTTCTCATTCTGGGGGTGCTGGCGTGGAGTGTACCGGAGGTAGCAGTGGTGCAGCTGGTGGTCCAGGTGTCGGCGTTGAGCAGCAGCAGCAGCAGTCACCACCAGTGTCTGCCCTTCGCGTGCTCGGCCTTCCCTCCCCTGACCGCTCATTTGCGCCTCCCTCACTGTCTCCCCCTCTTCCTATTCACAGTCCTGTGTTTCCTCCCCCGGACTCGTCCCCGGCTCATTTCCCCTTTTCGTTCCCCTCCTGTTACTCCTCCTCTGTCTCCTGACCCGACGCCTCCGTCTCATGTCTGGTCTCGCCGTCCCTCTCATGCTCGTCCTTTCTCTCCTGTTCAACGTTCTCACCCTATGTTGCTTCGTTCCCACGCGTCTCATCCTCCCCGTTTGCCTTTGCCTCCCCCTCTGTCTAACTACCTTCGTGCTGCTTGTCCTCTTGTTCCTCGGGTCCTTGCCTCCCTCGTTGCCGACCCGTTTGTTCCAGTCTCCAGTCTTGACGCTCTTGTAGCTGCTGTCGCTGACTTTGCCTCTACTTGCCGCCTTGACTTCGCTACCGCTCTGGTCTCTGACCCTGCGTGTCCTCCGTCCGTCGGGGGTGCTCCTGCCCTTGGAGGTGACGTCCTAGAGGACCGGCAGTACGAGCTTGCTTTCCTGTCAGTGGCTGCTCCCCATCTTTGTTCCATGCTGCTAGTCCCTGAGGGTGACCCCGACGCCTTCGACATCCCGACCCCTCGCACTTACGTTGAGGTGACCTTGGGACCCTGGGCATCTTGGTGGATAGCTGCCATGGAGCGGGAGATGGCATCTTGGAGGGCTACCGGCACCTACGTTGACGCAGTTCCCCCACTTGTGGTGAACGTAGTCGATGGCTGGTGGCTCTTCAAGGTGAAGCGCCCCCCTAGAGAATCGCATGTGTTCAAGGCGCGCTACGTGGCTAGAGGCTTCAGTCAGCGAGAGGGGGTGGACTTCTTTCAGACTTTCGCCCCGACCCCAAAGATGACTACTCTTCAGGCGCTGCTACACGTAGCAGCTCAGCGTGACTACGAGCTTCACTCCCTCAATTTTTCCACTCCTTTCCTTCAAGGTAGCCTACACGAGCAGGTCTACCTGCGCCGCTCTCAAGGCTTCATCGGTACTTTCCCTCCTGGGACTCAATGGCTCCTCCGGCGCCCCGTCTACGACTTGTGACTGGCGCCCGGTTAGTGGCAAGGCACGCATCGTGCCACGCTAGCTGACTTGCAGTTCTGTCCGTCCTCTGCTGACC